CTCGGCGGGTTTACAGAGACTAGGGATGCGTCACCGTTCCCAGACTAGGGTGAACAGGCACTGTGCTCTCAAGGCGTACACCTTTCGCAGCCGCAGCCTCCTGTCCCTTGCTCTGTCCCGGCCGGTCGCACCGGACGTCGGCTCAGTTTCTACTTGACGGTTCAGGCGCACGCCGGAAGCCGCCAACGCAGCCCCTGGGTCAAACGCCAGGTTCTAGACGAACGCTTCCGCCCTACCCTCTCTGCCGCAGGCTTAAGAATTCGAAGTATAGGCTGCTCGCTCGACGCTCGTTTTCGTCGTCCTGGGGTCCTCGTTGTCCTTGTTCTGCCTTCAGGTATCTCGACCAGCTCCGCTCCTTGTTGGCGACTCGGTAAGCTGCCGTTCTGGGACTCTAGCGGTGGACCGCTGTGCTCTCAACGCATACGCCTTTCGAGACACCAGCTGAACAACCGCGCGACCTTCCGGGCTATTCGCAGCAGGACCTTGTACAGTTCCTGCAGGACGATCAGGCATACGCCGGAGTTCGACAATGCAGTCCTTGTAGGCAGGCTCCCCTCCTTGTTGGCGACTCGGTAAGCTGCCGTTCTGGGACTCTAGCGGTGAATCGCTGTGCTCTCAACGCATTCGCCTTTCGAGACACCAGCTGAACAAACGCGCGTCCTTCCGGGCTAGTCACACCAGGACCTTGTACAGTCCCTGCAGAACGATCAGGCATACGCCGGAGTTCGACAATGCAGTCCTTGTAGGCAGGCTCCCCTCCTTGTTGGCGACTCGGTAAGCTGCCGTTCTGGGACTCTAGCGGTGGACCGCTGTGCTCTCAACGCATACGCCTTTCGAGAAACCAGCTGAACAACCGCGCGACCTTCCGGGCTATTCGCAGCAGGACCTTGTACAGTTCCTGCAGGACGATCAGGCATACGCCGGAGTTCGACAATGCAGTCCTTGTAGGCAGGCTCCCCTCCTTGTTGGCGACTCGGTAAGCTGCCGTTCTGGGACTCTAGCGGTGGACCGCTGTGCTCTCAACGCATACGCCTTTCGAGACACCAGCTGAACAACCGCGCGACCTTCCGGGCTATTCGCAGCAGGACCTTGTAACTGGTAGGCCACTGCTTGCATGCGCTTACTCTGCTTTCTTCTTAGCTTATGGGGAGTTATTCAACTCCTCACATTCTCCCCTTACTTCGGGAATGAAAAAGAGACTCGCTGTTCTCTCTGCCTTGGTATACTCCACATTCTGACATCCTTCCCTCGACGTGTCCTCTCCTCGTACTCGTCCTCGTCTACTTGTAGTCTTCCAGTCGACTCGCTCTTCCAGATGGTTCCCACGACGCTCACAGCTCCTTCTTGAGTTCCACAGCGCCGATCCTCCTTCCAGATTTTCAATCTCCCGCCCCAGACGTTTCCCCCGTAGACTTTTGAACTCCCGCCCCAGACGTTTTCCCCGATTATTTTTTCGATCTCCGTGATTTGTCTTCTCCGTCGGATGGTCACTCTACGTCGTGCCGATCGGTCTCCAGTCGTTGTCGGTGTTATTTGCCGATATTTCCAGTATTTTGTGCCCACCGATCGCCACTATCGTGTAGGGTCAATCGGCTACCATGAATCGAAGTGCCCCCATCCCTTGTTTATAGTGACTCCGCACAATGCTATGGTAAGCGCAATTTCCTATCTATTTCATGTTTACTTATTTTCTTTTTCCCCAAACCTTGGCCCAGGATTGCAGAGTTGACCTTTCCTGCCTTTGTGGTCGGTGTCAATGACCCTGCTCGGCTCATCGCTTTCTTGCGTCGTTCTGCATTTAGTTGGCAAGTGGTTTGTTTCCCTGCGACCCTGGTTTTCATGTATATTTCTCATTTCAGATTGCTGGATCATCCGTAGTGCATTTCATGTGTGTGTATTTTCCTTTTTTTTTTTTTTTTTTTGTATTGTGGCCGTTTATGTCCATCTTTGTGTCCTGCGATCTATAAAGACTCTGGTGTATGCCCGACGTTATAGCCCGCTCTTTTGGTGCATGCGTTTGTGTCTTGCGTTCTATAAAGACTCTGGCATATGCCCGACGCTATTATCGGCACCGATTGTTGTTGCTCGTGTTGCCCTTGCTTGTCTGTACCAAGTTTTTGTGTTTGTTGTTTAAGCTCACTGACGTGGCGTTTCGTTCCTTTTGTGTTCCCTTGTGGCGGACTCGCCGCTATCTTTGCTGCGAAACACTCGGCTGCCTTCGACAGATGGTGCTCTATCACCCAGGCCGTGTCACCAATCGCTGGATTCCATTGCCTCCTTCGTAAATTATAATGCCTGGATTGGTCCTGAGCAGCTTTCTCCATGTTTCGGCGCACAATTTCGAATATCTCCCTTATCTTATTGATCTTATCTTCAGGCGTTTCCGTCTGCTTTCCTGTGCCGATGGTTCCCTGTAGTACAGGGCGCTGGGCAGCCGAGGCTCTCGAGGCTGCGTGTGGAAACCCGGGGAGTAACCCGTTGATTCCGACGTACTTCAGTTTACCGCTAGCATAATCTCTGGCCACTTCTCGTCCTAATTCCTTCGGTTCTGTCCTGCAAACTGAGCTATCATGGTCTTAACGGTTCAGTTTGCTCTTTCTGTCGGATTTCCAACGGTGTATATGGCGCTGTGAATTGTTGCTTAATGCCCATTTCGCTGAGGAATTTCTAGAATGATCGGCTGGCAAACTGTACTCCATTGTCCGTAATTACCATCTTTGGGGCTCCGAACCTAGCGATGATTCTTTCTCGGAATGCGTTTTGAAGTGTTTCTGCTGTTGCCGTTCGCAGTAGCACCAATTCTGTTCACTTTGAAAATCTATCTATCCGCACTAGCAGCATCTGGTTACCTTCGATCTTGACAATGGTCCGACAAAGTCTGCGCATACTGTTGTCCATGGCATTTCCAGTATCTGCGTCAGCATCTTCCCAGCTGCCTGCATCTGGTTAGGTTTGTATTTAAGGCATGTCTGGCATTTTCGTACGTGAGCTCGGGCGTCCCTATGCATTCCTGGCCAGTAATAGCGAGCCGCCAGCCTTGCGATCGTTTTCCGACTTCCCACATGGCCTGCGGCTGGTGCATCGTGCTTCTCCTTTAGGGCGGTTTCTCTCAATTCCCGGGACACAGAGCTTCCATGCTGCCACGTCTTCGCTGCCTGATCTTTGGCGGATATGCCTATATATCGCTCTCCCTCCATGAGGAAGTCCGGGAAATTCTGTGGATGTGTCTTGATTTTCTCACACATATCTTTGACCCAGTTCCTTAGCCAGCCTAAAGGATTCTGGCAGAGGCTGTCTAGAGAGTGCATCACCCACCTTGCTATCCTTCCTGAAGGAATTTCGATGCTTTGAAGTGGTATCCTTCCAAGTATGGTTTAAGCTTCCGGATCGCCCACACGATTGCCAGGCATTCATCTTTTTAGCTGGTTGAATAGTTTCCGCGCCATTCAGGCTTCGGCTTGAATACGAAATAACCTTCTCGCCGCCTTCTGTTTCCTGCGTCAGAACTGCCCCTATACCATAATCGCTTGCGTCTGTCTGTAGAACGAATGGTTTATCGAAATCCGGGCATGCTAGCACAGGATCGGCTACTAGTCATGCCTTTACCTAATGGAATGCCTGCTGGTGATCTGTAGGCCATGTCCATTTCATGCCTTCCCGCAATAGATCATTTAATGGTTTCACTATTCGAGCAAAATCGGGCACGAATCGGGATCGGTTCCGATTCCTTGATTTGTTACGCGGTGTCCCACGTAAAGCAGTTCGCTTCTGAAGAATTGACATTTTCCTAAGGTTTGCCGGCTTTAGGCGTTCCTTCCAGTGTGCATCCGATCACGATCATGTCGTCTTGGTACGCAAACGCGTGTGGTGACATCTCCGGTCCAATAACCTGGTCCAGTGCTCTCTGGAAAGTCGCCGAGGCGGAGTGTAAACCAAATTGCATTACTTTCCACTGGAAAAGCCCCTTTCCTGGCACTGTGAACGCCGTGAATGGCCTGCTATTTTCTTCCAGAGGAATTTGCCAGTATCCATCTTTCAAATCCAGACTGCTTATGTATCTCGCCTCCCTCAACTGGTCCAATATGTAATTTATCCTTGGCATCGGATAAGCATCTTTGATGGATTTGGGATTGATCTGTCTAAAGTCGACACAAAGCCTCCACTGACCTGTCTTTTTCTTCACCATGACAATCGGAGGCTGTACGGACTTCTCGAGTGTTCTATGCATCCCTTCTCCAGTAACTCGTCGACTTTCGCATTTATTTCCCCTTGATCCTTTGGATGTTTCGGGTAGTATCTCTGTTTGATTGGTTTGTCGTCCTTCATGGTGATTCTGTGCTTGGCTATGTTAGATGTCCCACTCATTGTTCGAAATTACGCGAGCTCCTGCTCTAGAAATTTTTCAACATCGCATTCCTCAGAGGTGGTTTGCACCACCGCCACGGTCAGTTTTTCCTCAAACCACCCGTTGTGACTTCTTCTTTCTGGGATCACCACTGTATGTCCGGCACACCTTATTTCGGCGCCGACTCCTGTGAGGAAATTCCATCCTAGCACCAGCGAGTCTACCACTCCTGGTAGGATCAGCAAGCTCATGGGCAATCGCTTATTGCCGAATTCGATTTCCACCTCGAGCTGCGTGTTTATCCCGCTGCACCTGCCATCTGCCAACCTAACTTGCCTTCTCGTCCTTGTAATCTTTCCATAAGCAACCAGTATGTCCGCCGGCTCCTCGCTTATAAAGCTCGCTGTTGCTCCGGTGTCGATTTTGGCTTTGTGTGAGGTTCTGCCAATCTGTACCGCTGCGGATAACTGCTGCTCTTCTTCGATTAATTTGCCAGTTAGTTTGGAGAGACAACCCCTTGCGACCCCTGCTCGGCTCTCTGCTGCTGGGATCGCGGGTCATTTCCCGATCTCTGGCAGCACTCAACACTCCTAACCCCCACCTTGCCGCAAGTCCAGCAGAAAAGCAGCCGCTGGTTTTGGCATCCTCTTGCCCAATGTCCGTGACCGCCACACCGTCTACAAGCTCCGTGTGGGTTCACGATGTGTGTCTGTGACCTGTGGGCTCTTGGTGCTGCGCTGGGTGGTCTCTGATTGGTATTTGGTGGCCCCCATAACGTGCTCTGGTGGTTGTAGGTGTTTGGAGTCCATTGGCTTGGACCGTCAATAGGTGCTTGGTGTCCGCCTTCCTCTTCGCACCTTCTACACGTGACTTGTGGTGCTGTTGTTTTGCTTCGCGAGAATTTGTTTTTTTGAATAAATGCTTCTCGCTCTCTCTCGAGTTCTTAATACTCGTCAGCCAGCACCATTAGAGACTCTAGATCGTCTATCTTATACGTCCTCAGGGAAATCGTCAGGTCAGGCGTGCAGTTTTCTTTTATTTGCTCGAGTATTTCCTTTGGAGAGTAGCCGAGTGGTCTCATCATGGTCTGCATGTCAACCATATAGTCCTTGAACGACTCTCTAAAGCCCTGTTTCCTTTGTTTGACCTGATCTGCGAGCTTTGAGAAGAAACCCCTTGGCAGGAAATACGTTTGAAAACTGTCGCTGAACTCTCCCCATGTCCTCCAGTGTTTATTGTTTGATATGAACCATTTTAGGGCCTTGCCTTGCAGCAATTCAGGCATGGCTCGGGAAATGAGGTTCAGGTTCAAACCGTATGTGTTTGCTAACCATTCCACTTGTTCCAGAAACTCCAGTGGTTTCTCCTTGCCGTCAAACTTGAACGACCATTCCCTGACTTGCTTTGCGACTTTTGCATTGTCTGGTGCGCTGGGCCTTTGCTGTTCTGTTGTGACGACCCACCCTCACAAATATAAAATTCAACTTTCACATTAAAGCTTAAAAAGAACATTCCAAGTACTGGCATTTTATTATACAAACGCGCGCCCAAAGCCAACAGCCCCGGTCACATTTATTCGACGAAGTTATTGATTGCCGATAATCATCGCCCAATAAACCCGATCACCCAAAGCGGGATTATCACCATCGTCCGATCTTGTCACACTAAGCAGCGCCTATATAAGCGGAGACACAGCCCCAGACCAGTCACTTGCGTTCCGACGACTCTCGGGAAAACAACCAACAGGAGGAATACCCGGGTAAGTGTTCTGGTAGTTAGTCTTGGTAGTGGTGGTGGATCTGTAAGCTTCCGACCCGGAAACGATACGGAATAAAACGAAACTAACGATGCCCGGCAGCTCGAAACTAACGATGCCCTACATTCCCACATCCCACTAGAAAATCCAAGTAGTTCGTTCCTCTAAAAACGACCCAGAACACTACGAACCCGACGTACTCGACCGACGAAACGCCGACGCCAAGCAGTACACCTGGCCACAGCGCATCATCGTCACCAAGCAGTACACCTGGCCAAAGCGCATCATCGACAGCAAGCAGTGTACACAGCGACCGCACGACGTCAACAACACACGGTACACTCAGCCACCACGCATCAGCAACGCCAAGCAGTTCCTCGAACGATTGCGTGGTGCCAGCAGCAAGCAGTGCAACATACGGCCCTTCCGTAGCGCCGATCCCGCACATAAAGCAGTGCGATACTCAACAAGCTGCAATATACTCGGCCCTTCCGCAGTGCCGATATCACCAAGCAGAACCACACTCGACCCTTCCGCAGCGTCGATATCAACAAGCAGTACCACATTCGGCCCTTCAGCAGCGCCGACACCACGTAGCAAGCAGTATCACGCTCGATATAATTATAGTTAGAAAACGTAGTCTTAATCAATCGTACGATTAAAATATAACCATACTCTGTAGCGTTCGATTTGTGTTATTATTTGGGGAGAGGAAGGTAAACCAATCAAAAGAGGAAATAAATTTCTGTCTCGAACCCTGGCCACGGCGAGCTATACCGCCTACCAAAACAGGGTCGTTACAGTGGCGCCCGAACAGATTGAACACAAAAAGACAGTATCCTCAAATAGAAACACCAAAGATCGTTTACCCTCCCTCAACACAACACAATATAATACAATGGCAGATAAGTTAACTCGAGGCTGGATAAACAATGCCAATAAAGCCCAACTGGAAGCCTATCTAATAGAATTCGAGGTCAAACCAGAAACACTGTGCGAGGACATGCAAAGACAAATGTCAGATTTTATAAAGAACGGCAACCACGGCGAGGAAACTTTCAAACACCTCTTGGAACTAGCTCAGAAACACGCAAGAAGCCCATCACCAGCACCTAACGGAACGGAAAACCAACTGAACGGCAATAGCGGGACAACCGACACAGAGGAACACATCGAGGAAAAACATAAATATCTGCAAGTGCCGAACCCGACGGAGTTTGTCGAAGGAAAACCTGGACCTAAGCCCACAAGGACAGAAGGAAATAAAGTGGCCACGATGGAAGTAATACAAAGCTGGGGAGAAGAATACTACGGAACTGGAAACCCGGAAGAGTTCATTAGTAGATCATGCAGCAGGAGCAATGGTAATACTTCTCAGAGGCTGTGCCTTAGATTGGTGGTACACCCACCCAAACCCGATGCCGTCATGGAGCACCTTCCGGAAAGAATTCCTAGAGTATTACAGGCCAGCGGATCATGAGGAGAAAGCTATGGAAAGCATCACACATAGACACCAGAGCGAGAACGAGCCAGCGAAGGAATATGCGCTAGAACTCAGGAAAATCATGCGATTCACTACGCTCACAGAAGAGAAAAAACTGGAGTGGGTGTACCGAAACAGTCGAGTGGAGTTCAAGCGATATGCCAAAGGTGGAGAATGCCAAACCCTAGCGGAATACCTCCGACTAGCCGAAGAATGGGGACACCAACCACCAAGGAACCAGTGGAGACCCCAAGAAACACAACCAATACTTAACAGAGGCGTCACAAGATCTTGGGACATGAGCAATAGATGCTCGCGGTGCAAAGCAGTGGGATACATAACCCGCGGATGCAATAACCAACCAAGACTGTTTTGCTGGGTATGCGGACAGGATGGAATACGAACAATTCATTGCTGCCGCAGGAATGAAATGACGGGAAACGGAAGACATCCATGGGATCAGAGCAGGCACCCAGGGCACACACCACACCCGCAACATCAATAAAGTTCAACGGTCGACGTCTACTAGCACAAGTCATCATAGGCAGCACAAGAATTCGCGGTCCAATTGACACAGGAGCCACACGGAGTTTTATCGGCCAAGAACTAGCCAGTAGAATACCCAGGCATGGAAAAAGAAAACAAATAATTGAAGCCATAAGACTTGCAGACGGAACAAACAGAACGGTCACAGAGGCACTAGAGGTACCAATACTACTCGGGACACAAACAAACACAACAACACTATTAGACCTCGTCGAGGTCATCGGAGACCTACTCTTGGAACTTCTTAGAACAATGCAACGCTACACTAGAATGCGGAGGCATCACAGCGAAAATTAAAAAGAAGAAGAGGAACCAATGCAGAAGCAAGAAACACAAGAGACCCGGCGTCGGATCACTGGAAACAGGGGATTTAACAGACGCACAGATCCAAGAGACCCTCAATCGGGAGTTAGAGATGATGAGCCAAATCAAAGGAGTAAATCACATTGCGAGTCACATTCATGAAGCACGACCGCCCAATTAAACAGCGATACTATCCTCGAAACTTAGCAATGCAGTCTATAATAAACAAACAAGTAGACGAACTCATAGCACAGAACCTCATAGAACCCTCGCACTCCGCCCACAGTTCGCCAGTGGTAATCGTGGTAAAGACAAACAAGGAATGGAGGCTTTGCATAGACTATAGGCAACTGAACGAGCACTCTGAGCGAGACGCATACCCAGTACCACGAATGGATCACATTCTCAACCAACTCCGATCTGAAAAGTGGCTACTGGCAGATTCCGATGGACGAAGACAGGTAACAGTACACTGCCTTTACGGTACCAGGACGCGAACTGTTTCAGTGGAAAGTAATGCCCTTCGGATTACTAACAGCACCAGGGACGTTCCAAAGAGAGCTAGACTCAGCCATCGGACCAGAGATGGAACCATTCGCGTTCGCATACCTGGATGACATAGTGGTAATCGGACGCACGAAACGGGAACACCTGGAGAAACTACAGGAGGTAATGAGGAGACTCCACAAGGCAAATCTAAGGATCAACACAGATAAATGCCACTTCTTTAAGGAAAAACTAAAATATCTAGGGCACGTAGTCAGAGCGGTGTGTATGCCACACCGATCCGGATAAGATAGACGCGATCCTCCACATGCCAAATCCACAAACAACAAAGCAGGTACACAGCTTTCTAGGGTTGGCCTCCTGGTACAGAAGATTATGGTCTATCTTTACGGAACTGGCACAACCGCTATACAACCTGGCTAAGAAGGGGACAATGTTCAAATGGACCGAGGAGACACAAGAGGCGTCCAAAAACTTAAAGAAAGCCCTAAAGGAAGCACCGGTCCTGGCTTGTCCTGACTGTGAAGGAACCGTTGTACTTCAGACGAACGTCAGTAACTGCGGACTAGGAGCAGTACTGACCCTAGAGTATGAAAACGGCGAACTCGTTATCTCGTACGCCAGTCGGAAACTTACAAAAACAGAACAAAACTTTTCGGCCACCGCGAAAGAGTGCCTGGCAATACACTGGGGCATCCCGAAAATCAGGATGTACATGGAGGGATACCACTTCGTCGTCATCACTGGCCACCAAGCTCTTAAATGGCTTAACTCGATCGAGAGCCCTTCAGGACGGATTGCCAGATGGGCATTGGCAATGCAGCCATACTCATTCGAGGTACGCTATCGCAAAGACAGGCTTAACGTCGTGGCAGACGCATTATCCCGAATGCTCGAGGAAGAAATACACGGAGCCGAAGTAGAGGAGGACGAGTGGATAAAACAGAAACTCCTTGCAATAGAAAAACAACCAGAAACATGGCCAGATTACGCACTAATAGAAGGAAAACTATACAGACCTCTACCGTCATGGGCCACAGACGAGGATACACAACCATGGAAGCTATGCGTGGCAAAGAACCAAAGAGAACGGGTGTTATGAGTTAGGAAAACGAAGCATCGGGTAATGGCATCGTACTATTGGCAAGGGATGCACAGAGACATACAACAGTACGTACGTCGCTGTGAAACATGCCAACGGTACAAGACCTCACAGCAGCAGGCAGCAGGGAAAATGCTAACAGAAATAGCAAAAGCACCCTGGGAAACACTCTGCATAGACTTCGTTGGTCCACTACCAAGGTTTAGTCACGGCAATAACATGCTTCTAGTGATGTTCGACAAGTTCTCCAAGTGGGTGGAGCTAGCAGCCGTCAGAAAAGCAACAACAGAAATTGTATTAAAAGTCTTACGGGAACAGATCCTCACACGATATGGTACACCGAAAAAACTCATCTCGGACAACGGGGTACAGTTTACCAGTAATAAGTTTAAGGCACAGCTACAGAAATGGGGAATCGTCCACCAATTAACAGCGCCATACACCCCGCAAGAGAACCCAGCCGAGAGGGCAAATAGGACAGTAAAAACTATGATAGCTCAATACTCCGGAACCGAACACACACGGTGGGATGACTGGCTACCCGAAATAGCAATGACCATTAATAGCACCAGGTCAGAATCAACAGGATACAGCCCGGCGTACCTACTATACGGACGGGAAATATGACTACCCGGGAACCTGTATAACGAAACCACACCTGGATCCGGAATGGTAAAGGAAACGATAGAGGCAAGGTTACAACAAATGATAGAAACGAGCAAACTAGCACATCGGAACATGGGAAAAGCAGCACAAGACCAAGCCAGATCATACAACCTACGGAAAAGAGACTGGAAACCCAAAGTAGGAGATCTCGTATGGGATCGACAACACCCATTGTCAAAGGCAACTATTGGGTTTGCAGCAAAGTTAGCGCCGAAATACGAGGGCCCATTCAAAGTGACGGGTTTCGTTTCAACAGTGATAGCGACAATAAGACATACGGCGACTGGAGAAACACCTGTGGTAGAAAACGAAGTGGCAACGTCAGCGTGACGACCACGGGAGCCACGGCCTCCTAAACGGGGGGGAGTGTGACGACCCACCCTCACAAATATAAAATTCAACTTTCACAGTAAAGCTTAAAAAGAACATTCCAAGTACTGGCCTTTTATTATTCAAACGCGCGCCCAAAGCCAACAGCCCCGGTCACATTTATTCGACGAAGTTATTGATTGCCGATAATCATCGCCCAATAAACCCGATCACCCAAAGCGGGATTATCACCATCGTCCGATCTGGTCACACTAAGCAGCGCCTATATAAGCGGAGACACAGCCCCAGACCAGTCACTTGCGTTTCGACGACTCTCGGGAAAACAACCAACAGGAGGAATACCCGGGTAAGTGTTCTGGTAGTTAGTCTTGGTAGTGGTGGTGGATCCGTAAGAGTTCGGTTTGAAATTCGGCTCTACGACCTGCTGAGGATCACCGACGCCCGGTGTGGTTTAGGAATACGCACCTAGGCCCGGTCGAGATCGCTGAGCCCGGCACGGTTTTCGTAACTCCGTCCCATCTCAGTGAGTTCCTCCCAGAAGTCGCGTTTCCGGCTTCCGACCCGGAAACGATACGGAATAAAACGAAACTAACGATGCCCGGCAGCTCGAAACTAACGATGCCCTACATTCCCACATCCCACTAGAAAATCCAAGTAGTTCGTTCCTCTAAAAACGACCCAGAACACTACGAACCCGACGTACTCGACCGACGAAACGCCGACGCCAAGCAGTACACCTGGCCACAG